TCCTTAGGGATGCTTCTACCGGAGTGAAAGGGCGACGGCGGGTATTGGTTCTAGCTGACGGTTCACTGGTTGCATGCCAAACGATGCGCCAAACGATTGGCGTTTTTGAACTGATAGTCGTTAAGTTCCGGCTAAATGGGAGGATGAGATAACATTCGGCAACGGACAACAATGACGACGGTTCCGCCCCATCACTTTTAAGGATTATTTCGCCTCGTGCAGATCACATCATGCAGGCCAGAGGCACCCTATATCTAAACCCAAGTGACAATGCAGAAATCATGATATCTAAGTCAGTCACTCATGCGAATTTATTGCGTTTCCAGGGTCCGTGCAAGCACTGATATCGAAATAGACTACACCCTAATCTTTTATTAGCATTCTTCTCAATGTTGTGTGGATTTATTACGACCGATGATCGGCATCCTAGAAAATGGAAAGAAGTCTTGCCAATTTGCCTTGAACAAATCCAGTTCAGAGAGTAACAAATTTGGTCATCTGTACTCCATGCAGACAGTAGTAGGATTACAGTCACCGAATAGCAAAAGGAAGTCGTTGGTTGTAGGCAAATCGTTCCATATGGAAAGAAGTAACACAGATTAAAGTATTCATAGTGAAACGCTGGAGTCAAAAAAATATGGATCCGGAAATGCTGTTGTCAACCAAGTCGTGATACCGTCCCCGTACTACAATTGATGAATAATAGTAAGGACAGCTTGCTCATATATTTCAACCTTTATTTCAGTGAGTGGGGAAACCTGGCGGGAAAACACGACAGACACACACGGTATGAGACCCAATGAGAGGAAAAGACACACAACGGATGGCTGCGTGGGTGATTTTTACATTCAAACTGAAACGGACTTGTTGTTTGTTTATCTGAATTGTCGGAATAAGCAGCTAACCTAGCATTTGGACTCCTTTATCCTATAGAATTTTTCAGCTGGATACCTTAGGATGTGTGTGTAGAATATTTTTCATGGTGGAGAAGTAGGCTGTATACTTGTAGTAGGAATCCATATTAGTACAACTTTTTAGCAGTTCCTCCGGGGAACTAGTCATGGGAGAGATTGTTTTCAGACTATCTTTTGCTTCCTGTAAGTTATCTGTTCAACATCTTACTCAAACATAACTCCAACGAGGCCACGCCCATTCAAAGGACTATACAGTAATCAGATGTCCGCAACGTGAACGAAATCGATTGTTTGGTGCGACAAAGTTAGTCACTAACCACGGGAGAACATAAAAGTAAAATTAGTTTGTTAGATTTTGGCGACAAAACTCATCCATTCGTGTTTTCCATAAGCAGTGGACAAAAGCTAGTGAGCATGGAATTATCTACGTGTAAAAAGGATGGCTTGCCTTGGTGCACAAATAACAAGTGATTTCCTGTACATCTAGGATTTGTGACTTTGAATATAGGGAATGAATGGTCTGGGAGGTGAAAGAGTCATGCTTAAACTAAAGCATGAAAGAAACTCCCACTAGAAGCCACAGTGCGCTTTGTGAAAGTTCGTGGAACATACTGACAATGATCATGCTCTCTGACGGATGCATTTGTAGGGCAAACATCGAACTCATGCGTAATGGAAATTTTTCTAAAATACGGTCATTGATTCTAGTGGGGTAGCTGGTCAATTACGGTTTATTCGCTTAGTCAGCATGAGGTATTTTGGTATCCTGCTGTGGACTGCAGAACAAGTATCGCTAATGACATGGTTAAGGAGAATTCTCCTCTTTGAGAAGAACAAAAGTACGGGGTTTTCAGATTCCAACATAAGGAACGGGCTAGTTCAAGTCTTTGGGGTAACTTATGAAGCCTGCTTGCTCCATAATGAATCAAAATGCGTTAAACAAAAATACATTCTTTGTGAAAATACTAGACTATGTTTTAATGGTTCACAATTATCAGCTCAACTCACTATACCTGAGAGGGCGAATTAAAGTCAATATTTGCTGGATCATTGTTTACACACGGGTTGTTTTTTGACGCGTAACCATCATGCCAACATTCATTCAACTTTTCGTAAACGTGTAAGCCTTATTCAGAACACCGAACTATTTCGGGTGGAAAACACAAGCTCACAGAATTAGTAAAGGTGGAACAATGTATTGCCAAGTATTTAAGTCTACTTTGTCAGACAAGAAATCCGGGGAAAAGGAGGCGCTGTGAGTATGCGGGAACGCCCAAAAGTTTTCCAGAAATTCGGTGGTTTTTTGGGTCAATTAGTTCAGCGGGATAAGGATAGCAGGGGAAACGATTTATTTGTCGAACGTGTTGGTTTACAGGAATTAAGGCATTTTGTTATTGGTATTTACTTTTGTTAAATATCAAGCAAAACACAGAACACCAAGTAAAGGCATCAAAAGATGAGCTATATTCTAACCTTTGAGACAAATGATAGTGAAATGCTAACCGATGTGAGGATAGCAGACACTGCAGGGAAATGTACGCAAGATGTTTTTGATGCAGGTGTGAATGGGACTCATGTGAGCTATCAAGAAGGCATGGGCGGCATACAAGTACTTGTGGTGAATTCTTTAGAAGTTTCAAGAGATCACGACTCCTGTTTTATGTAAGATACCCCTCAATCATTTAGCTTACTAAATTTAGTTTAAAAGTCAACATATTGCAGGATTTCACCTTTTGCAATGATGCAAATAAGAGCCGTGTAGGAGTTCAAATTTCATGAATACATCAGCAAATAATATAAGGATTCCTCCTCTTTGGACGTGGTTAACCGAGGAAGTCATTTAACTATCTGACCGTTCACGAATGTTCTGCAGAATTTCACATCATGTTAACAGGACAGAACTTGAAAAAAATGTTCGGATTTGTCTTAATCCCAATGGTTTGAGCCAACGCTAAACGTTGTTAGAGAAAGAGGAAATCGAGACAGTGTTCAGATAAAAAATCGGACATAGAGTGAATCTTATTACTGCGGATGGTGTGGTTTTGCTGGTCACCACTCACGTTGCATCTAAAAGTGCAAGATAGTGTGCATAAGACCATAGGGACAACCTGATTTTGAGATTCAGACAATTAAGCACGCTCATGCTTTCCACTTAAAAACTTTGTGAAACCGGATTATAGTCTCACGAATTTTATCAACCTTTAACCACAGATATCAAAGTTGGCACCGGAAAGGGCGGCACTCCATTATTTAAGCTAATGATGTCAAAGTTTCATTGATGAGTACTAAATATAGTCAATAATCAGCTAAAGGTAATCCAGTGCGCAGATCACTCAGTTGTTCAACAAATATCACGTGGCACAGATCTTATGAGCGATAATGGGTAGTTCTGCTGGGCAACTTGCAGTAAACGAAAACTGAGGTGCTCAGTTTTTAACTAAAAGTTCCGAACTCAAATATTTGTGCAGCTTTTCTAGTCAAACATGATTAGCGATTTGAAATGAAGAAGAAATCCTGTCGGCTGCTTTGGGTTAAACTTAAGTCGACCCCACTTAAATAGAACCAACACTGACAGGGTGGGTTCCACTGTTCTTTTCAGAGAAACGGGTGAATAAACGTTGGACATAAAAAGTATCCATCGGGAAGAATGAAATACTCATCTTCCCCTCTAAACATCGATTCCGAAGAAGAAACCGATATTATCTAGCATCTAGACAGCTTGATGCACCCCGATGCTATCTGTACACATCACAAACTCTAGGATTATGAATGCTTCCGATCATTCAGTGCGTGAGGAGTCAAGGAATTAGTTTGCTGAGCTGCTGGTTTGCCAACAGCAGTCAATATTTGAGGTTTTAAAGAGTTCCCATGTTGAGACGTTCGTTTCATCTTAAACAAAACGTACTAAAGGCTACAGACAAATCTTTGGGGGTGTTGCTCGTTATAGGACTGTCTGTCTTTTCCCATGCAAAACAAAAATATCTCGTTTTCTCCAGCAACCTGACACGAAACAAGAAGGAAATTTAGAAGAATCGATTGTGTGACAATACTCGTCAGGTGGAATGTCACCATTACCATGGATATGACATGAAAGTAAGTGGTTTGCGGGCGGGTGAGAATAGCTTCGTAGTATTACAAAGAGAATATAGTTCGTAGCAATTCGGAAGTCGAAGTGTCCACAACCCAGGTAATACTGGATCGAGCACAGAAACGACTCTCTTACAGGTCTCGAGTTGACCACATATATTAAGCATAATGGTTTCCCAATTGGACTAAAATCGAGGGAAACATGTGATCCCAACCGATTAGTTCAAGATTGATCACTTGATCACGGGATGAGTGAGCTAATTAAAAGATAGGCGCTCAGGTCGACGTGTTGCTGGATAAAGAGATTTAAATAACTGGCCTCAAGATGGCAAATGCCTGTGTGTCTTGGCTTTTGAAAATGTCCTGAAACTCTACGACTTTACTCGAAGTTCAACATTGTGGAATTTCACCAGTTTCATCACAATGTTAATTAAAAGGGACCGGAAATTTGACTGAACGAAAATTGGCAAGCCATCCCTATGTTTGACCTTTCATTAAATGTAGTAGACCAGAAGTGATAATCTCTTAGTTGTAACAGCCAATATCTGAGTATCTTCTGACGAAATCCATGCAAAAGCGCTTTTTGCTGGAGTTGATACACAGTGCAATGTTTCTTGTTATAACGTGTTTTTACTCGACTGGGGTGAACTTTGTCTCAATCACAGTCTGAATCTCTTTCGTTCACAAGTTCTTTTAGCTACGATGTTGTGATTCCATAGTTTTGTGTCTGCCTAGAGGATTAGCTGGAATGCTCAATGTTTTCTGAAATCATATTACTGAAAATGAAGATTGTAATCGAACACTTGCGCGCGAACACGCCACATAATTCGAAAGGGAACACATGGTTTTTCTCAATGGTAGCTGAAGAGACATCAAAGTAAAAATTCAAGGTCGTTCGCCTGGATGGCTGAAATCTCCGTATTTGCCTCGTCAAACGGTTACTTGTGTTTTTGCCTAGGCCTAAGTTTTGGGTTACTTATTTTCTTCGCATTTTTCAAGAAATCTGGTTTGATCCATCCTGCTTCATCTGCCGATTATCACGGGCGTTATCATTACAACCAAGTAAGCGGGCTTACCAATTTGATGATGATATGAGGAGGTTCTGAAATTTAGCCTAAGATTTTATCGTCTTAATGGCCAGCCTATACAGAAGAACCGCGAAGTCCATTCGAATAGACAGCAATGCGCATCAGAAAAATCCGCGACCTCCCGACTAGCATTTGAAGACTCACCAATGAGGACCCGAGCGGCTGACCAACAATACGACTCAAACTTTGATGTAATATAGCGCCTCTTACAGTTGAATCATGGAATTCACATCACGTGGTCGGGTGGTGAATGGTTCTTAGGGAAGGACTTCCAAAATGAAAGACCCATGAGACTTGTGAGATGCTTTCATCTTTGGAGTAATTTCACTGAATACTTACTTTTTACGATGTAATTCTTTTAGGTGACGTTGTTTAACCCTGGTTTCGTTCTTCATTTTCACGATTTGAAGTAGTCCACGTGACAGCGCAACTGGTTCCGTGATCAACAAAATACAACTTGAGAGTGTACATCCCCGCCCCACACCCGAACTGTGTAAAGTAAGCAGATGTATTTTAAGGGAGTTAAGCTTAGACTAGCCAGATAAATTACCACAAGGTACTTTTTAAGGCCAACCAGATATCCTCCGTCTTTTAGATGAGTCAAAAATGAACCGTTCAGTAAATTCAGTTGTAAAACTGGGAATACGGGACAGTTTGTATCCTGACGCTTCTAATATATTCGACGGGCCGGTGACAGCAAACGCTGGTGTGTGTGGTTTATCTTGCTTACTTGATGCACACAGTCTTCTAGGTCCGTGGCAGTGAGAGCAAATTGAAGCAACCGTTTTGCAACACATTCAGTTGAAGAATATTACGGATTGGTGTTTTGGTCGAATGGTGCATCGGAACATTTGCAAATGAGTGTTCAGAGACCAGATTCCTTTTCACAGCAGTAAGTCAGTGATTCCCACTCAGAACTTTATAGAACACATTTTTAACCAGCGTTACAATGCTGTGATCATGCTATCCGCATTTTACTGAAGGTTTAAATGGCTGGCTTGATTCTTTCGGCAAATTCTATGCTCTTGGGAAGCAGCTGAGGACACAAAACATAAGCTGGTCTGTCGCTGTAATAAATGTACTTCCAGAAGTGAAAATAAATTTAAATCCATCGTAGTCTATACCAAAAGTGTTAGGGTATAAAGCTTCAGTTGTGTGCAAGACTTGCTGACCTAGAAGAACGTTTTTGATACACGTATCCTCAAGTAAAGATTACAAAATAGAGTTTGGTTTCCCATAACAAGACTAAATGCTTTTCACACACATTGCGAATGCATATCAGTAAAACCCATTGGCAAGGGGGCTATCTTTCTTTGCCTAAGACGAATCCCGGCTGGTATCATTTCAACATTAATTAACTACCTGCTTGCATAATGGGTTTGATGGAAAGAGGCCAACAACATTGGGCATTCTTACTAATTCACGAAGCCTGTTTAGAAGTGCGTTTCACTAACGAGTCAAAAATACTCAACCACCAAATTCATGGTAAATGCTTTTGGTGAAAGTAATTCATTGACGATGTTGAAATTTTTAATTCAGGGGAAAAGGGGGCTCCAAAGGAGGAGGTGCACTAAAGCTTACAATAGTGTACCACAGCATCAGAGGATCCAACTACATTTGAAGTCTTTACAGAAACGGTCTCTGTAAGAGGAAGAAGTCGGCAACCTGTTAACAACCTCTTTGCCTTCCCTGAGTTTGGGCTCATAGGGTAAAACAATGTTATTCCGCTATGGTTCCTTGTTAACTCTGCTCAATTTCACTAATACTTTCGGGTAGGCATAAACCTTTGTCCTGAGGAAACTTCTGTCACTGTTGTTGCCTTCGAACTGCAATGCGAAGTTTGCGTGGCCTGTGCCCACGAGCAAAACAATATGAAATGCTTTATGAGGTTCGTTTGTTAACATGCGGTTCATTTGTTATTTTCCCAAGTTTGCCATACTGAGGTCAACTGTTCTCCAGTTTGGTAGAAAAACGGGACAATGGGAAAGACCATGTATGTCATATCAAATCAAGCTAAGTCGGGGAAAATTTATGAGGACAAGAGTGCATTTTCAGTAGACCAATGGACACTGAGTAAAAACAGTCATATGCATGGTCCAAGATATACTGGACCAGGTAGTTCTGTGTCACAGAAAAGCCATCAACGACATAACTGAGTATAAATTAGCAACGGTAACGAACAGAAAAGAACAATGGATTTAATTCAAAAATTCCTTTTCTGTAGAAAATGGCTCATTCAGTGGATAATTCTAAGAGTCATGAGAATTTTTGGGCGCTCATCTTTCAGCTCATTGGCCCAAAAATAAACATATACATATATTTTAGGCCTATTGCTTCGTAAACTTTACGCGCGCCCCTTAGGGGCGCCTGACTACCGAGCAAGGGAAACACATATATGAAGGGACTAAACGCCTTGTTACTAGGTCGAAAAAATCCTTGCGTGGGAAGGAAAAAATTTCGGATTTTACTGAGAAGTGTCTCAAGGTACAGAGACCATTCGACGTTTTTTGAGTGAGATTTGCAAGAGTACATCAAGCAGCAAAGTTCTGAACGGGAAAAGACATTTTTTTATGACAGATTGGTAACGTCCGTCCAGAACGTTTTTTGATGATAACAGTGGAGTGAGTGATAGAAAATGGAAACCTACAGGTGGCAATCATGCAGCAATGATATAAGAAGGCTAACTAGTCTTCCTGGGAACATGCAAACTTGAAAATCAATTTAAAGTTCATTGATCTATGGTTGTTGGTCTGTTTGCCGGACAGTACAACTGACATTTTTCCAATCTATGATAGAATCCAGAAACTATTCTAACGTCTTTTTTCAAATCAGGTATTTGAGCCCGTGCTCGTTGCTCACAAGTCAGAAGCCATTGTGTGTACATCCCGGCCTTCCCTCAAAAGTTCAATACCATATATGTGTTTCGCTTTGCGGAAGAATTGTAATCATCAACTTTCCTATGATACGATTCTTGATTTCAATTAGCCCTGTGGAATAATACTGGCAACTATCAGTCAGATCTTAGAGGTTTGGTAAAAGTGAGTGAACATGTGAGACCATCCATAAGTTACTGGCAAGCTATAAAAATTCAGCAAATGTTAAAATCTATTCGGTATCACGGGTGGCATATTTTAAGCCAGCGGCAAAAGGAATAGACATGGAGAAGACTAAACTTCACAAACCCAAGTCACCAATACTACAAGGCGCTTTCGAGCTTAAGTTATTCTAAAGGATTTCAGGTGATTTTTTCCATTTTGATAATGGCCTTAAACACAACACCGGTACTGAAATTAGAAAACGCTTTACGAGCTACCCTCATTTACACACCAATTCGGTTTTAACGGGTGACTCAGCCAAACTTCAAATGAATCTTCGTTCAGGATATTCTACAACTAAATGCACTGCACTGAGACCCCTGAATCTTTCAGTTTGTACGATACCCGAAACATCACAGAATACTTTCCCAGAGAGGCATGACTCATCATGCTGTGGAAAACTCTTAGACGGTCCACGACCGGCTTCGTATTTTTTGGCTCACCAGGTAAGCACAATCTCTGAGTTTCCGTCCAATTTAGGTTCTTTATGGATCCATATTGTATGAAATCTGTGAAATACACTCACTTGTATACCGATCCGGCGAAAGCGGTTGTGGGCTGACGAAGAATCTTCATCAGCCTGGTGTCTGTAGAAAATACATGTTGCGATCAGCTGGAGTTTCCCCGCTTAATATCATCAGTTTCATCATCATTATTCCAAACCCTCAGTGGGTAGTATCCGTTAAAACGGAAGCTAAGCAAAAAGTGTTTAAACTAGGTGGGTTCGTAGAGGTCACTCATCAGATCACGCATCACAAATACTCAAACCACATGACAATTCCTAACCCAATTGCAACCTTAGCCGACAAGTTCTCATCCACTTTTGTTTACGCAGCTACCACTTGCGTAACGCGTCAGGCTTCTGAACCTCAACACATCAGGTCAAGTTGTATTCATGTTCGTGCAAGCATCAAACACGAAGGGGCACTCCTCACTTCACACTGCACACAATAGATGGCCATACATCTAGGCTCAACACACACACTCACGCGCACAGGACAGGAAGTCAACAGACCTCCGCATGTCTTCACGGACAACTACCGAGCACATGTAGCAGCTATACTGCAGAGAAGACACATCCTGCGTACGGAACTTAACTCAGGAACTCTCAACTAGTGTACCCAAACGATAAGTCACTATTTGGCTTATTCCAATTTTCGCATTGTATCTATTTTTATCAAATGCACCTAACTATTGTATTCATCACCTAGTAAGACAGACATCGGTTAGTGCTTGTTACCCTCCGATAATCAACTTAATTACGTCACAACTAGACCACTAACAGGCTATTACATTCTGGAATTTGCATAAATGCCGTTATCAGAAGTTGGTGCAATCGAGCTTCTCAAGGCTGATATGTCACTGTCAACCCATCAGTTACGAACCACTAGACAGGAAAGCAGATATCTCACCTGAAAATTGGGCATTTTCAAGAGTTCTCTTGAGCTGTGCTGGATGTTCTTTGGTTATTGAACAATGGCTAAGCATTAGTCTAGATATGACTGGTATATCCGATGACTCCATTTTTCTGCTTCAGGACTGCACCGACATCCCGGTCACCAGCGTCCGCTGCAACAGCAAACATCTTCCCATCGCTGGGTAGATTGAAGGCCAATTGCCGCTCCAGCATCGGCGCTTTGACATGTCGGAAAGCCTCGAGCGCTTCCATCGTCCTTTCGAACTCCCCATTTCGACAGTACAGCGGAGTAGTACAGCGGAGGAGCAATGTTGTTGAAATCTTTGGCAAAGAGACTATAGTACACTGCTCGTCCGAGAAACTGTCGTAAGGACCGCTTCGAATTAGGGAATGCGCGGCCCAGGATCTTTGTCAGATTTTATGGCAGTGGGCTCATCTCTCGTTGACACGCTTTATGCCCGGGCAGTGTCACCGAAACCCGAGGGAGCTGTACCTTGGTTTTATTTATCCACAAGTCATCTTTCGGAATACGCTTCAATAGGGCTTTCAGATGAACGACGTTTTTGATTCCGAATCGCTATACACGACGATATCGTCCTCGTTAACAGCAACAATCTGTAGTCCCTTAGCTAAACGAAGCAGCGAGCGTCGTAAAGTTAGTAGAGCCAGCGGGAAGAAAAACGGCATCCGTCTTAACTGATATTTGGTGTGCCCAACGCTGAACACTATTTCCTTACAGTCCTATGACTTACTAGCTAGTTTTCATTGTCCAGAACGCAAGTCAAACATCATGAAATACCTGGATTGGCGGAGTGAATAAAAAATTTCGCAACCAAAGAGACAGCTACAAACCGATTTCCAGTCAGTCCACTTAATCGCCGATAAGCCACACACTTGACATCATCACAAGCACACCCAAGGAGTTGTACGCACTGTTGGCTTCCTCGATTGTGCCATTTTCCAGCATCTCTTGAAAATTTTTGTGAACCTCCTTCCGTATATGGGGCGGTAGCTGTAAAAAGCTGTAAGGTCGAAAGCTTTCGGACAAGAGGGGGATTTTGTGTTTGATCCATGGGCAGAAGGCAAACGGATCTTCACCATCTGTAAGCATCTTGAAACACTCATCGACCACAGACTGCGCGGAGGGAACATTGCAATGGGGAAGCATTTGGGCACACTGTTTGCTCTCGGCAGTGCTTGGGTAACCTTCAAACTTGACTGAGCCCTACTTCGTCATCAGCTTACCCCAATTTAGGTCTAAAACCGGTTCAGCTCTCCTGAGAAAACCTGTTTCCAAAATTGTTTGCTTTACATCTAGGCTGATCAGAAACTCGTGCTGCACTGACCTGTCGCCTAGACGCACTAAGTTCATTGACGATCCATCAATTTTCAGTCATTATCCACCTACTAAACTCCAGACTAGCTGCATGGTTTGCATTCAGCTTCTTTCCCTCTGCCACAGTGAAACCCTTCCTTCCGTATCAATTAAGCATAGCTGCATTCTTCCATCCATTCCGAAAACGGTCTGTATCGTAGCCTGTGTCGCAGCACTTATCGCAACCCATCAGGGAAAAGAAGGTTTAGCCAAACCTTTATTATTTACAGGTGACCGGGTACGGCGACATTGACTTTTGTAGTGGCCAAGTAGAGCACACATGTAGCATCGGCTTATTCTAAAGTGTCTCTGCAATTCTGTCTTCCTGGAAGAAAGCTGCTTGTTCAGTTGCTTCACTTGGGTTTACATATCCTTTACTGATGAATCATCCCGTTTCTTCCGGGAATAAAATGTGGCCAGTGGCGCCGCCTCCAAAGTCTGCGCCGAATGAATCAGCTCTTCTACGATCAAGTGGCTGGCTGCACTCACCGACTGCAACTGGGCACCAAGGACCTGCTGCACGCCTTCGACGAAGTTGTCAAAGAGAAACTGCTAGCACGAGACTTCTTTTGGTCCAGGAAAGATGCTACTCAACCAGACGAGAAACACATTCGGGTCACATCGCACTCCTTTCCTCGTCGCCCCGAACCGCCCCATGGTCTCCTAGTATTCGGCCGGTTTGTCAAACTTTCCTTTAAGTGCTTCGTTTCTGGCGACCTAATCCATCTTTCCAGGGCCACTTCTGGCCGAATTCAGGGCAGCCTCTGCCCGGCCCTTGAGGAGAGTCTTCAGTAACGCCAACTTAACCCAGTCGCTGCGAAGTTATTTATTGGTAAACACAATAAAAGTAGTTGCAAGCCATTAAACACAAAGGTGAGCATCTAATCTGCACAGTTCTGGCAAGGTGAGCATTCTCAAGCGTCCTCTTGAAATATACCTGCGCGTTCTTTGGCTAGTAAACAATAGTGCAAGACTCTGCAGAGCGATTCCATAACTTTACTTCAGCTTCCAATAAATGTGGGGACGGAGCTTGGACACCTGACCATAGACTGCCTACGCGCTTCATCATTAGTATCACTGCCTCACTTCTTCAGCATTTGGGAGCGTTACAAGGAAAGGACTTATTTGATACCACCTCATTGACATTTATGGCAGTTTGTAGAATTTGTAATGGGGCCTATAGTTCACCAGTCGCACACCATTTTTGAGACAAATGATACGTAGATGCAACCATCCGGATACTTTTCCCAACCGATTCTTATGCGAATCGCGATTATTTTGCCCTACAGGTGGAGTACAATAAGAAAGCGAATTAAACTAGACAAATGCACTCATTTGCATATTGATTTGGCTTTCACGGGAGAACAAACGGAATCAGTCCAATATGACTCAAGTAGAACATAAGGTTGGCGGAAACTCGGGGATGCGCCTACTGACGAGCCACAAGAAGGGTGAATCTGGTCGGGCTATCGAAGAGTTTCCAGTTTCCCTTATAAAAAACACCACGATATCACAAATACCGTGCATGTGTGCAGCTCATTCAGTTGAAGAATGTCATAAAAGAGAGATCCAGTTGTCTCTCGTGAAAATACAGTTGATATGCGAATGAGCATAGCTGTCCAAATCTGCTCAATTTGGATTCAGCTAGAACATAAGTTTAAGGAAAATTCAGGGACTGCGCTTACGTGGTGAGCCTCAAGAAAGGTAAAATCAGTCGTGGGTTGTCGAAGGGTTTTCATTAACTTTGTGAGTAGTATCCTGTATGTAGATAAATCTTCGTTCATTTTGTAAAGTTGTAATCCCCTTAAATAGGACAAAAGCGCAGATTGCGCTTGGTTGCTAAACTCCGAAGCACAACTTATCGTAGCAAGCATGTGCCATGCTACCACACAATGTTCGTCACCTGGCTTCCCCATCCATTAAAAATGCATCTTGTGACGTCTCTTATTCTCCCCACAGTATGACTCTAGTGTTCAAACTACCGATCTTTAAACTCCGAAATGTAGTTTGAAGAGTCTTCTTGCGTATGAAGCCTGTCAAAATAAAGCTAAGACGTTTCGTATCCACCTATCCTTGATTTCAGCTTGTTTACCAACTGGCAAGGGTTATCGGTTGCTCCAGTGATTTCATTTTGGACAGGCTACTCATGGGACGGGCCGAAAGCGTTCTCTTGTACGGGGAAATCCATCTTGGCTATGGATTAGGTCAAAACACCAAAGGCGATATGCAAGGTTGTTTGTTTGATTATTTGAAGGTTTCTGAACTTCGGTAGCCTGAATTTGTTAGCATCGCGCAAACTTATTTAACCATACAAAATTAACTGTAAGCATTCTTGTCCAGTGTTTGACATTGTGTGTTGCTGTGGTTGGTAATTTTAGTTAAATCCGCTTACTGTCTACTCTGGAGGTTTTCTTAATAAATTTTACCCTATTCGCCTAAGAAATTGGCTGATTTGCAGGACACTGTGGGTGCATAAAAATTAACCAGTTTATTTAAATTAATGTGTTGAGAGGACAATGGTTTCTTCCAACAACTGAAAGACACCAATAAATATGAACTTCAGTTCACGGATTGATAGGTCCACCGCGTTTGATTTGCTATGCTACTTACAAGAGTAGTCTTCATGATGTGTTTTTGACCGATTTGGTAAGACGTACAAAATTACAGTGAGATTATCCGTCCAGACTTCAGAGAATGATTTCCTGGGAGAAGATGAAAAAACTGGTGTAGTTCCTTTACTGTGCTGATAATTGGACCCTATTAGGATATTTTCTGTCGGATTTGAGATATTTTTCATCTAACCGGTGATGAACCTAAGAAGAATACCCGTACTAATGACAGACGCGACTGAAACCTATAAAGATATAACTACGGTCAAAAGAAAGGTGATTTTGGAGAGCTTGGTAGGCCTGGAGCCGGGCCATGCTATTGCATGTGCAGGGCAAACCAATACATACCTATTTGGTATCATAGTACAAAATAATTAGATACTGTTTTTATCCATCAAGACCAACCATTCGCAGAATTTTAGGGATTCAGTAGATCATCACCTGTGGTTACGGTGGCCAACAATTGCTGAGTTTAATGTACTGTCATCAGAATTAGCTGTCCTACATATTGAACAGTTCCACATGGTAGAAGATCTAATTATGTAGGCTGTGGTGTAGCGTTCATGGCAGTGCTTTACCAACGCCCTAGCAGAAAATTTTCTGTCATTGGAAAACTAACGGTAAAAAGGGTTTTATGGTCCATTCCACTTCATTGTGAGTACTAAACAGTTTGCATGCTCCAGACATGAGCGTAATACACCAGGTGTAAAAGTCATTAGCTGACTAATTTACTGATGATATTCTGCCGCACTGACCTCAAGTTTGTGCGAGTTGCGACGCATTTTATTAGGTTTTGAAAAGCCACCGATATTACCACTTTACGGCCTGTTGGGGTATGACACATTTGGGTATGACCCACAATATGTTCGTCACTGGTTATGTTGAAGTACCACTCTACCGACACTTTGCGTGAGTAACAGACCCCTTGGTTTCACATATCCATAGCTTTGACCAAACGCTTGCATTCAAAGTGGAGAAATTGTCAGCTTTGTACTGAAGACCTCACCAATTACCATGACGACGAGCCAATGCATTCTCAGTGAAATAATGTGGTATTCATTTACGATACCTTTCCTGAGACAGAAAAGGCGGTAAACGGCGACACTGTTTGCAAATATCAGAGATTTGTTAGGATGCAAACATTTGTGATGTACAGTAGAAACTGAACAACTGAATTTATTTGGATAAGGCTTGAGCAGACGTAAGGAAATTTTGGCCGTAAAAGTCGAAATCGAGTAGACGAACATGTTATCTGCAAGAGAATTTAATTGAAAGTTGCAGGTTCAAAGCTCGCAGAAATTTTACGCGAAATTACTAGTAAGAAGACAGTTCGTTATTATGCTTTTTACGATATTGCGTGCATGAATTTAAAATTTTATCCGTAGGTGATACATCAACTGTCGTTAACACCAAATTTATACTGAAGCTTCAGGTGTTTGTTCGATGCATTCGAAGACCGGGGAGTCAAGTTTTATTACGGACGTCCCGCTTTTCATAGCAACAGTTAGTAATATAAAAATTCCGTTGTGCACTGAGCGCCGCTTACTGAGTTGATCAGATACGACTGTCGACTTCGTAAGGTACTGGTGAATTTTTGCGGTCAGTTGTCCAGCAAGCAACTTCTGTGTGACTGACTATTGCACAACTGTCGTTTACTATTTTCCTTTTTTGGGACACACTGAATAATGGTTTAAACACACCTACCGACATTCTTGTTAATGTGCATCAAACTAAAAATTTCTATTCTCTTTTACACATGTTTTTGAAGAGTGATAGAAAAACATTTGCAGTTGGTAATGTGTTGGAATATTGGTAGCTCGGGTGTATTGGTTGGTAACCAACAGCGCACTGAAGATGGCTCCTCGAATGGTGATGAAACGTTTGCAAATCGATTGCCAAGCTCGGCGAACAGATCAACAACCACCTGATCAATTACCAAACATTTGTAGTGTCCGGCCACACGCTGCTAAGCTTGCTGAGGCTTTGCCCTCTTTCCAGTCGGTAAACTGTAACTTGTAAAAAGGAAGAGTATATTTCATGTACACAAACCTGATCGCATGAACTTTCTCCCGGAATCAGTCGGCAAATTGCTTGTAGGGAGAAGGGCGGAAAGAGATTTAAAATGAACCAGAAACTGTGATCAGGATACCTATATTCCTCATGTCCGGATTTATTCCTAATTTCTCTATATATCAGCTATCAGAGTAGCAATTTTTAAACCGATAAGATGAGGATACAAAATAAAAAATAGGCATAAGCATATGTGGGAACCCATGCACGAGAAAATACCGTTAATATTGGAATTTTCACGGCAATGCAAATGCGGAACGAAAACAAAGTGCTCAACACATTTTCTTGACAAATTGTTCGCATGCTTCTCTGTCTCTTTTCCGTCGAAATATAGATACGCATTTACCCATAAGGCTCAGGAAGACAGAAGACACAGCGAATTTTCTAGGACACCGAATGAAGTTCTGCAAAAAAGTCTTCGTAGTTGTTAATAAGGTGACGTAATTATTTGTGTTCCTCAGACCAGTTCATTACACTCCCGGTGGCTGCTCAAGTTTCAAGACTAAACTTTTCCGTTCTGTACAAAGTTGCCTCTATATTAACTGTTTTCATGACTCGGTTTATTCACAATCATTTCTGTGTTTGTTGTTGAACACTTTGTACCACTTTGAACTGCACAACATTTTCACCGTTTTATTTGTACGACAGCACACATCCTGAATTGCTAATTGCCCAAGATTTAACCCAGCCGGAATGTTTCCTTCGATCCTACTCATTATTTACTGTTAATTCCTCATAGAACCATGGTCTACGTATATTTACAACCTGCTCACGTCTAATTCAGTGTATTGTTTGCTTCTCAGTTGCGACTACTGAACAAACGCAGGTGAAGATGGTAGAATTCGGTTTCGTGGTAATCATTACTGACCATTCGTCGTTGAAATGGGCATTACGTTTCCGGTCAGATAGGACACCAATATCATGTGTTTAGACTAACTAACCAACTGTTTGCCTTGAGATCATGGCCTTAGTACAGAATTGTACATTAGTAGGACCTC